AAGTCTATTCGACAAGATTCTACTATTCTCAAATCAAGTCTATTCGACAAGATTCTACTATTCTCAAATCAAGTCTATTCGACAAGATTCTACTTTAACTCATTAACCCTACTTACACTTTGTGTCATCGTCGGCGTCCCAGACGTACTCAGGTTAACTACCAATTGACTTATTGATGAACAGGAAATTTTATTACCTATATGATGCCTCCCCTGGCTCAGAGACCCGTCACCGCCGGTCTGGATCGGTGCGGTGTCACGCTGTGGACCCTCCGTGCAAAGGCGGAGACTGTCGCAACAGATTTCTAAATGGTCCTGTTGATTCCGCGTCGTCCCGAACCGGTGGATTCTTGGGTCCCGGGTTTCGGCACCAGAGAAATGTTGGGTCTAAATACGACTCCTAGTTCCTCACTATCAAGAGTTTAGTCATTATTCAATAGACCCAGGAAGAGGCATCAGAATAAAAAGGCTTGACACAGAGGATAAGTTTTTCTCAACTGCAGAGAGGGAGAGACTGTGTGGCCAGAGAATGCCACACATCGAATCTCACCCACATTTCTCTAGCCGTTGATTTTTATTAGACTGATAGTTGCTAAGCAGTGTACATATTATGGGATATGAAAGTATTGGACACTCGAGGTCAATTTCTGTCATGCCCTTATAAGGTTTTTCCCGGTTTTTCCCGGTAGTTGGCTGTTGTTGCAGCTAGACCTTGGAAGACACAGATGGTAGACAGATGGAAGACAAAACACACATCGCTTGCTCAGGGATTTCAGCTTCATACTAATGTAAATACGAAAAATAGCTTCTACAGTTTCCTCCATTAAATTGTCAAATATCAAACGTTATAATTATTCATGCAAAATAAATAACACTCAATTATAATTTTAGGTCCCACTAGAATGTATGGGCTATAACAATCGTGTAACAATCATTACCTCTTCCATCTTAAATAGAGCAGGCCATCTTTCCATGAGGCTGTCGATGGAAGGCTTCTGATCCACAACCTCTTGCCTCCTAAACTCGAAAGTCCTGGCCATCTTCTCATGTATGGTTTGGTCATTGTTTCTTTTCTTTACTTCAGTCAGAAGCAAAGTTCTCTCTTGCTCCAGACTTTCTGGAGTCTCATTGCTGGGCTGAGGATAGTAATTGGCCTCACCTCTTCTTGCTTTTTTGTTGTTTTTTGCTGGGAGGGGAAGGGGATCTTTTCGTGACTTTGATTTTAAAGTGTTCACCATGAGCTCAGATGCAAGTCCATGTGACTTCAGCTGAGTGCGATAGTTGCACATCTTACTTTTAAGTCTCAGTTTCCATACATAGCTCTCATTGAAAGAGTCTGATTGTCTCAAGCAGGGATGCTTCCTTGTCAGAGCCTCTGCTACATCACTCAGGTCTGCATCAGTGGGGTACGCCTTGTAGTAGAAAATCTTTTCTGCCAATCTATCGAGTATGTCGGACAGCATTTTTGAGGAAGGCGTCAGTCTAGTTTGGTTCTTCGTGTAATCAGCATTCCCTTTCTCGAGTTGACCCTCTGTTTCAAAGGAGAAGAGTGGGATGGTGAACTCCTTTGGCCAGGGTTCCGTTCGGAGTCTCTCAGAGGAGCTGCTGCTGAGTATGAATGTGTCATCTGAATCAGTGTGTGCTGATATGGAGCTTGAATCTAGGTCACTCGAATTAGATGGGACACTATCTATAAATTCCAGAATGACATCAGTAACAGGAACACACGGTATGACCTTGATGGTGGTAAGATCCTTGATTGAGGAGGTTGATCTCAAGTTAACAAATGTTCCGAAGTCCACATCTTTGTATTGCAGCCTGATGTCTCCAGTAAGTTGCCACGCTTCTTTGATCTGTTCAATAAGCTCTTCAACGCTGTTTGGAACCAATGGTAGATCCATCCTCTCTGTACTGTCGTCACTCAACAAGATCAGGAGGCGCACAGGATTTGCCATGTTGACTGTTGTGTATCAGCGTGGAGGTCCAGAAAGCTGCTTAAATACCACCTAAAATAACAAAGGACATGGAAACACAAAAGACATGGCATCAGCTCCCACTGCAGGTTTGTAGAGATGAATAAAACCATTTATGCTGAATGGACAGGATCCAGGAGTCAACAGGACTCGGAACAGGACACATGTCAGATACATGCATGAAAATGCAGACCTTAAACTTGAATATATCTCTTCAGGGTAATCAAACGCACTCCTCCCACAGTGTAATCCACCAGTGGATATGGATCAGTCAGTTTATCTGGTGCTACAAGAATTATCTCTTTGGTGGGGCTCCCTTCAAGTTTAAAAGCCCTGAAGTGTTCCAAATGCCACGCACTCAGCTTCCGAACAATGAAGAAAAGATTGTCTTTCAGAACCAACATGTGGATGATTTCTGTGAATTCAGGAATCCCTGCTAAAGATCCATTAGAAAGGATCATTCCAGTTCTGTAATTGAATCCATTGTAAGTGACATTTTTAGCCAGACACACATTGTCCACAGTTGGGTGTTTCAGCCGTATAGCTCGTGCAATCTCCTCTTTCAACACATCCACAGAAAGAGTAGAAACATTTGACACTTCCAGAAGAGGTTTTTGATGGTACATAAACACCTGCTGCGCCATGTGAAATTGGTGTCGCTCTGCCAATGACAACAACACATTCTTGAAAGATCTTGTATATCGGACAACTCTTTTAAAAAAACTGTGCTTTGCTTCAAATCTCAAAGTCCAAAGACAGACTAATGGTCCAAATTGCCTAATAAGTTGAGGATAATGTTCCAGGTAATGATGCTTCGGCAACAGGTTGTAGTCCGGGAAAACCTCTTGAAGTCGTACTCTGTGCTCTGAGATTTTGAAGTTCAAATATGCAATTGACTCCTCTGTATGAGTAGGTGAGACAATAAGGTCCACAATATCCTTTAGATCAGTCAGTATTTTCCATGCAGGTTTTTCAACAGGCACCTTCTGGCCAACAAAGAAGGGGAAAAACCTTAACAAGCACCAGTTCTCATGGGAATTGCCACCTATTGTCTTTTTAGATGCAAAGTTCAACGGCACTGGATGGGGACAATTAACTTTGTCACTCCACTTAAAGGGGAAATGTATTATAGACTCGTTTAAATCTGCAAGGGTAAAGTATTTTTTAGATGTGAAGATGGATAGACATAAAGCTATCTCTGCAGGAACAATTCCTTCAAATAAATCATGGACCAGATCTGGAGGGAAACCTGTAGTAACTTTGAAATGACTGAGTTTCTCAGAGAGGATACATCTCCTCTTGACACCACAGAAATTGTTCAGAGATTGTTCCTCAATGGTTTTGAGATGGTCCGAGTGAAGTTCTTCTGTTCTTGATGTAAAAGCTCCACTGTCCACATGCTTAGTTTTAATATCTGATTTGGAAGCTGTACAAAATCGGCATACATGACCACCTGAAAAACTCTCAAGAAATCCAGCAATGCTGTGAGCTCCAAGATTGTCGGCTATTACACACTGTATAGTTCCCTTAACACATTTCCCTAACTTTGGCAAAAACACACCGTGTTGTTCCAAGGTCATTAAATCACAAATGAGAGGCTCGAGTACTGCTTCATAGCCATACACCTTCAAATCATTACTTCTGACTAGAAGAGCCAAGTGTATAAATGACAACGAAGATTGGCAACTGGGGGACAGATTACCTAAAGTCCAATACAGGGCACAGATTTTATGCTTTCGTCGTGACGTCCCAATGGGATTACATATTTCAAAATCATCGATATAAAGGTCAAGTGAAATTGCACAGTCTTTAGACAAAAGTGTGTTGTTTTTGAAAAATTCACCGTCAAAGGGACAACTATAAACTGCTTTATCACTCACAGGTGACTGATATTTCTCTTTCAAATTGGCAGTCTTTATCAAGATCGAATCTGAATTTAGAATCTGCTGCAATACTTTCAACACAGATACATACTGTAAGGATTTTTTGTTTCTTTTATCAATAATATATTCCACTGGTGACACTACACCAAATTCTCTTCTATAATTGTCATGTTGGGGTCTATATTTCTAGCCCACATGCAGAGCACGACTCAGGAGAGCAATAACGTATATGAATGAGTTTATTGGATTGGAGAGTACTGCAGAGTTCGGGGTCCTCGTTTTCCTTGTGGTCCTGGAGGTACAGCGCTTAGCCACAGAAATCCTGATGGTGATGAAGGAGGGCGTCGGGGGGCGGACAGGTAGACTCAGGCCGGTGGGAAGCAGAGAGGCGGGTCGACTCCAGTCGGGAGATCCAGGAGGAATTTTGCGGTCGCCAGAGGAGGTGAGTCAGGAGAGTCCAGGACTCCTCAGGGAAAACCACCTGGAGGCAGGAAACAACAAAGAGAGTAACTACTCGTTCCGTCAACAAGAAGAAATAGAGACTGGCTCTAGGGCCTCAGAGGTACCGTTGCTGGCTAACACTCAGGCATCAGAGTGGCGGCCGTCAGCTCCTCTTGTACACCTTGCCTGATGAGCAGATTGCTCTCAGGTGCGCAGGATGACGACACACCACTCCAGAGAGAGGTGAGTTTGGTGCCATCTGGTGGCCAGATGATGAGTAGCCGAACCCAGACTCTCAAGGAAAACAAGGAACCCCGGAACACAACAATAATATGTTTTGCGTTTCCACAAAGTAGACAATGGGCCTTGTTTCACTATTGCCTTTTGAATTGGATGTGAAGAACAAAGAACAGTGGCTAGCTCTTCAATAACACATGCTTCCACATGACAATCATTATTTTCCAAAACTTGATTAATTGTCTTTAGACTAAATGGCACAGAAACTGTTCCAATGAGATGTTGTAGTTCCTCAAGCAATTCGTTGACAGCTGTACTGGAGACCAAGTATGTATGTTCCAATTTAAGTAAAAGTGAAGCAAAATGCTTTTCCAAATCTATACACTCTTCAGTGGTTTGATCATTCAGCTGTATTTCTTCATTCAGGTCAGAGTTCACTGAGTCAGAAGGATTGGAACTGAGTGATGATGTCACAATTATTCCACTTTTAAAGTCATTCACGGTGCTTGACCGATGTTTCCTCCATTTATGGGTCCGGAAACTGCTGTATATGTTTGTTTTGTATGAACAACCATCAAACATACAAGAGACTTGTTCGTTTTTTTTCAAATGATGATTGATATGAAGGAAAAAATTATACTCTGTGGAAAGCTGCTTGTTGTTACAAATGTAGCACTTGAATGAAGAGACTTTTTGTGTGGACTCCTGATAAGGATGATTCCTAGAAAGATGTTTTTGTAGACCATTCCATGTCTTGGAGAAACAGGGGCAATTTGCATAGATGCATGGATAAGGACAGTGCCTACCGTGAAACCGATGGCCAGTGCGGTAATGTTTTAGTAGCTCAGATCGTTCTGAAAATGACAGGCTGCAGTCTTTGCATTGCCACATCTGATACCTAAGAAAACAAAGGAAGTAATTATCAATCCCCTTACAGGTGATAAACTGATCTGTGCTGGTTCAGTCAGCAGAACTAAAAAATAAATTAGCCTATCTGCTGCTATGAAAATGTATAAACGAGGGAGGGTCTAATATTCAAGGGTGATTTGTGAAATAGTTTAACAAAAAAAAGGCCAGGGAACTGAGAGTGAGCTTGAGGTTCTGAAATCATATAAAATCAAACAAATAAATAATACTCTGAAGACCACATGATACAACACCAAGTATGAAACGTTTCCGGGTAGAGAGAGAGAGAGAGAGTCGGTGCTTCCGCTCAATGACTGAGCTCAAGTGAAGCTACGTGCAGCCATGTGGGCTACCAGCCTCTCTGTCTCTATCTGTCTGTCATGGTGAGGTCTAATTTTCTCAACCACATGCAGAACACCACTGGAGAACAGAGATCAGCAAAATATAGTTTATTAATGTAAACGCAGATACGGTGGATCGGATCGACGAACTGTCCGGAGAGGGCTTCTGGTGAGGTCGGCACACAGAGACGTAGTAAGGGAAATGGTAAGTTCAGGGGTAATCGGAAATGGGAGCTGTGAGAGTAGTAACCGCTCTTACTTGGGAATGGATGATGACAGTCCCGGAGGCACTCCGGTGGAAACCGGGTCTGGGCTTACGGTAGTTTTGAGTGGCGTCCAGGAGAATCGGAGGAGGGTGCGGCAGAGAGCGGCCAGTGGGTTCAGTGGTGGAGGACAGACGAGGAGCGGAACCACAATCAGCCGAATAATCCGGGAGAGGCTTTGAGATCCGGCCAAAGGTACGGGAACGGGGCTCGGGCAGCCCGGGGGGGAGGCGGTGTCTCGCGGTGAGTTAAACCAGGAAGGATTCTTCAAGGAGGCCGCTTGGCGTCACGAAGGAATAGCATATAGGCTAACACTCAAGCGACGAAGTGCCGGTAGTCCGCTCCTCTTAAGCTCCATGACTGATGAGGTGATTAAACACCGGTGCGCTGAACCAAGGCACGTACCTCCAGAGAAACCTCCGCCTCTAGACGCCCTCTGGTGGATGAGGGATGAAACAGCGGCAAAAAAGAAACCCCCAAAAACCCCGGTTCCCAACACTGTCTTTCTCTCTGTCAGAAAATAAATTATGTTTCGGAGTCCAGAAGTCACCGACAAATAAAGCATTGAATGGTTACAAATATGATGGCCACAGCTATCAGGTCTCACAAAATGAGCGTGACACATAAGCATTTCAATAAGTTCACAAGCTAACACGTGGCAGTTTTCACGCTGACAAAATAATTACTTAATAAATAGACGTCCTGCACGCTACTTCAATGACGTTTCAGAAATTTGTATTCGCCAAACTTTGTTTACTTGCTCAAACAATATTCCACACTGTACCTTCGAGCAATTCTTTTTTAGCTCTGGGTGTAGCGAGGTTTAAGGAGTGAGGGCTTTTGGCTAGCTAACGTTAACGTTTTTTGTCATTACGTTAATGGTAAATCGGTAAACCCTTTCAGACGTCAAC